GCTGATAACAGCACCGAAGATTCAACTGGGAGAATCGACTTTATAGCGACATGAGAGAGCGAAAGATTGGAATATATTGCTAGCAATTCAGCCACCTGTGATGCCATCATCGAGAAGAGCACCGTCAAATCTTATTCACCGGTTGCCCAAGGGAGAGCTACTCAAACCGGATGCTGTCAATTACCCTGGGATAAGAATAACGACAGAACTGACCTTGGTACCAGTCGTACAGTCAACTTATCCTTCTTTTCGAACACTTAAACCACTCCCCACTACTTTTACTACCCGCTACATCCGACACGAGTTGATGGTGCAGCAGTGTATACAGATATAGTATTTGTCACCTGAAATTTATGTGCGAAACCGTAATCCTGATAATCTCCAGAGGCGAAGTTGCCTGCCACTGTACTACCAACCCACCCTGGAACGACCCTGGAACTTCCCCCTCGCCGCCCCCACTTTTCCGGGATCGTCCTGGCGTTCTCCACTGATTTATTGTACTTAATGTGCGCCACGACTCGGGAAATACTAATTCAATAAGATTTATTCACTTTTTGATACGTTCGGGATGGGGGAATTAAATTGGGGGATTTTGAAAAATAAATTTAATCCACCGAAATCATGAATAAAAAATATTTTCAGGTTTTTCTCTGTTTTTTTCTCTCTATTTTGCAAAAGTTTGTATTTGTCAATGCGAGGGGGGCGAGGGTGATGGTTAATGGTGCAATAATTTTTTTGTGTCAAATTTATTATGGATACATTTAAATTAATGACAATTAAATTTATTTTTGGTGTATTTTTTGTTGGAAGTTGCGAGAATTTGTTAACTGTGCTTATTCAAATGTTTACCATCTGCCGAGGGCTATAAATAAATTTGTTAACGCTACCCGAATTTATTCAATATTTGATTGCCATTTTACGCAACGAACGAATTATGAATAAACAACAGGCGATGCGTGCATCGAAATTCTAGCGTAGGCATTAAAAATACTGAGCATGAGTTTTCGAGCCCTATCACCGTATACAATGACTGGTTCATATTCGGCATGGATTAGGTGACCCAGCTTCCCTTGAAACTGAGCCATGGATGCAATAGGAGCGAACAAATTGCACAAGAAAATAATTAATTCATCTATCGAGTGAAACTGGCGACCTTGGATCGCATTTTTGGCGGGGCCTTTTAATTTTTTTCTTACTAATTTGATTAAATTAGGTTCCATGTTTGCGTCGACCATATTTTTTGCTTCTTTGTGCCCTTCCGAAAATTGTGAAAAAAATGACGGATCTCGCTCGAATTCTGGAATTGCGGAAAACGTGTCTTGTAAGGTGACCGTGGTACCTTATATTATTACGCAAGAGATTGGGTGTGGTGCGATGGTATAAAATTGCTTCGGATATGATACTTTAATTTCTTTTGTTGGCTTATCAAAGAAAGGGTCCGTAAATTGTCGCGGATTTTTTGTTGAATAATCGAGTATGTCCCGAGAAATTTCGCTATTTTGATTATAACAAGTCGTGTGTGCTGCGTGTGTTTTCCGACTGTAGGAGGCGAAAATTCGGGACAGTCTGATAGTGAGTGCTATTCATTTTAGTAATGTTTGGTTGAGGGGTGATAAGAGCTCGCCCTACTGCTCGATTCACTGCTTTTTTTTCTGGTATGCTTTTATCATTTGGTATGACTTCATCCGTTTTTTCAGACTGTCTATAGCTTCGTAAAGTCACTGGAATATAATATACCGACACTTCGTGACCTAATTTCGGATTCTGGTGTGAGCCCGGAAAATTTTTATATGTCGAACTGGGTGCCGGAATTATTCTCATTGATTATTCCGTTTTTTGCATAAACCGTTTGAAGAAGTGCTGTATTGTGATAAAGGGCGTCTAGCTCTCTCCGTGCGTCGTTTTTACGTAAAAAATTAATTTTTTGCTACTCAGTTGGTTTGTTTTCTGTTGTAAGAGTCGTTGGGGCTAATTGTCCGATGTCTCTTTCCCTCCGTTATTCCGCGATTGTGCAAGTCGATTACTGTAAACGGCCGATTAGGTCATAAATTTCTGCGAGTACGTCTGCTGCGTGTATTTTACCGAATGCGATTGGCGCCGTCTGAGTGTAATTTCGCATGATTTCTAATTGTTCCAGAGGTACTTATCCCTGTCCCCGAATTTGACTCAAAAATGTTTCATCTCGTAAGAGTAAATTTGGATCTATAATAATTGTTTCTATTTCCAATTTCTTTCGATACACCCCCGTCCTTGTAGTAGGTGTATTGCGGGTAGCAAATAGATTGTATTGGTTGCTTCGATTTTTTGACTGGGTTGTGTCATTGAAATTGATGTCGCAACGTGTAAAGTGGTTTTAAATTGGGAATTGGTATTGAAACTTATATCTCCGTCAAGGGACACATGGGGTTCTATTTCTGTTTCAGTTTGTTTGTCAGTTTTTAATGTGAGATCGTCATTGCTTGTTGCCTGTGCTGAAAGTTTTTTCTTGTTTTTAGAATTTATTGGAGCAGGTTTTCTGCAGTCAGTTTTTAAAGAATAACGAAGATAAAAGGTGACCCCCCGATGCGATGAATCGAGATTTCGAAAGATCATGCAAAAAAAGTAGTTTGGGAACCTGATGTGTGGAACAAAATGCTAAAGCACACCATGAACGGTTACGAGCATAATTGGGGTACAAAGAAAACTATGTATTCCAATTAGAGTGTTTTTAGACCACAATTAAGGGTTACATATTCCACGAAGAATTCGATGAAGGAAAGTAAATATTAAGTAAGCAGAAAAGAGAAGAATGCCGGAAAAAAAGAAACAAATTAAAGATGAGAAAAAACGAAATATATCTCTTACAATGATGTTTTTGAATGATACGGTGAATGCTTAGTATCGGTTTAAGTGGTGGGAACAAGTTTGAGGATCTTGAACTGATGAAAGTATCTTCTCAAGTGTGCTTAAATGTAAAGATCTTGAACTGATGAATGTATCTTCTCAGGTTAGTTGGATGAGTGTTCACTGGTGAACTGGGTGCGAAGACCCTGTTGCTAGGCAGATATGCTAGTAAATTTGACGTGAAAACCGTGTTGCTAGGCAGGGATGCACTGGTAAATTTGACGGAAAGGCCGTGTTGCTAGGCGGGATGCACTGGTAAAGCACTGGAGGGTAACTGAACTGAGATTTTTATATGATCGAGTTTTCAAGTAAGATTGACTCTCTGATCACTGTTGGTCCGAGCTTTTGTAAGCTAGGTTCTAGTTATCTGCATCCCATGTGGGGGTTGCGATCGTTGAACTTGGTTTGATCGTGTTGATTCGTGTCGATGTCTTCTGAACTTAGTAAGCAAGATTTTTGTCCTTGGTAGCTCTCCTTCTTTTAAAGTCGGTTTCCACGCTTTTTCTGAGAATCTGCCAATTTGTAGTTGGTCAGTCATTGTCAGAATATGAAGGGATTTCTTTCATGGGTAACGGTCCCTTGCTTTCGGAACTATTTCGTGCCTTTTTTTTGCAAAACATCTCTTTTCTTGCCGTAAAGATGTGCAAAAGTCCCAAGTTATCCCGTAGCGGTCGGAACGTTTTCATACCTTTTCCTGGAATGGCAGTTCGTATTCTCTCTCCGAGTCGTAGATTTTTCCGATCGGCCTGCGTAATGTACGTCCAGTGAGATCACTATGGAATTCATTGAGGATGATGTTTGAGAGCAGTATGTAAATACGATATTTCGTCTTTGTTTATGACATCCAGCAACGAGTGTTTAGCGGAGCCCGTCGATTCATTGTTTCCTTCTTCCTTTTTCTGCAGAATAGCGTGGCCTACTTATTCATTTAGCAATACTTTTTGTTGACAATATATATTGATTTGCCTTTTTGAGAAATCACAATATTGTTTAATTTGCCTTTTTGGAGAAATGCATGGCCTATCTATTCATTTTTGAGAGCCGCGATCCGCGACACAACTGCCATGAGCGAACGTGAGGGGTGTGATCTCATGCCACTTGTTTTCTGCACGAACTTTATTATTATGCGACCCCCTTTCGTCATTCTAACGCACTAGGACGGTCCTTTGGCTTTTTCCGCGCGATTTATAATCAACGCAATAATAAACATACGGGTGGATGTGATACAAGCAACTGGATTACTTTGCTCTGGCATCGTTGCTGATACGTTTTTCTAGCGAAGATAGCGAAGATTAATAATGGACGTCCGTCTGGTTTTGCCACCTCCTATCGCCGACATGAAAAAGCGACCCCGATCTTACATATCGTGTTCTGACGAAACATTTGTGGTATTATGTATACTGAAGTCAGCATAACGTTTTCCTTGACGATCTATCTCGCCACATCAATTTTACCTACAAACCCGTGCTTCCCACTCTTTTTCTTATAAGAAAAATTGATGTTGACTTGAGTATAATGGTTCGTACAATAGAAGCAGTGGTTTACCTTCCTGATGCCCCTGATTAAAATAATTCAAAAGCATGTATTGCACTTGGAACTAGTTATTTGATATGCTAGCTAGTCTAGCTTTCTGATTAAACTTTCGGGATCCAGTTCGTTCCGTTAAATTGCCATTCACTACCCAAGGAGAAAAATTGAAAGTTTCAAGTAAACGTTATGACAATAACAATATAATCTGAGCGAAACTATCTAATGCGTTAACGTGCTTACTATGCGTCTTGTATTATTTTTTAGAAGTAAACATTATGACTTTCATATAGTTCCTTGGGATATTTCTATAAAAGTTTCTCTCCCATAAAAATCAAAAGCATACGTGAAATTGATTTTTCATGCCGTAGACTACTTTGTTCGCTTAATATAATAAATAAATTTGTTTAATACTTGGAATGTCACTATATTAAAAAATTTTTTTGACGATATTATTTGTAATTCGCATTTTCGAAAATCGCATTTTTTCCACTATTACCCAACTCCCATCATTCCCGTCCTGCTCCAGAATTCAAGAATCACGATCCGTCAAATTATTATGGTCATTGATGGATTTTTTCTCATGACAGGGCAGTATGCTCCGTTGGTGAAACAAACAATACCCATGATACCGTGCCAGGACTTAGTGAATTTGGAAAGGTAATGTCTATTCACCTAGCTTTTGTTTCGTAGTCTAGGCACACCTGACGCTATTCCAATATTTCCATACATCATAAGAATTGTGAATAAAAAATGTAACAGAGCATCGCTGTCGTTATGTATATTTAATTCTAGAATTTTGATTCTATGCTATGTGGATGCAAGTACCGATATATATATTAAATAACACATTAATCATGCAAATCATGAAAGTAAAATTCATCGTCGCATTAACAATTGATTCTAACCTATAGCTGTAGCTTGGTTTTTTTAATAACTACATAAAAAAATCTAGAAAGACGGCGAAATATGGCAATATTATTTATAGCTGATAAGTAATATCAGTATACAGGAACTGCAAGATTTTTTTTCACTCCATACGTCCTTTATTGCATTAAATCTATTGATTGTTCTGTCCAGTAGCATATAAATGTATACATGTCAATACTAAATTTTTCTTTTTTTATGATTTGGTGTACGAACAGGCAGTTGTAAGGGAGTTGAACAGACTCGGTATGCTGGTGGATCTGTCCCACGTATCTACGCGAACTATGAGGGCAGCACTACAGACAACACGAGCGCCGGTCATATTTTCTCACAGTGCTGCACGTGCATTATGCAATTCAAGTAGAAACGTACCCGACGACGTGCTCAGAAATTTGGTAAGTTTTTTTTGGCAATATCCGCAATTGTTAGGCTATCATTTCTGTGGTCATGGATTCATAATAAACTTAGCTATTAATTCAAATTCAAACAACAATTGATATTATGTGTGGTGCAGGAATGGGATTTTGGGTGGTACCGGGAACTGTATGAGGTGATGGTGCAATGGAATTGTACCGGAAAAACGCGAGGAATTTTACCATCAATCGTTGTCGATCTATTTATGTCTCTATTAATTTGTAACATGCCCCAATTGACTGGGGATGAAATTAGCCAGTTAACCCGCCCTTTTCCCCTGGAATCTAAAATCGTCAAGATAAAAATTAAAGGTTGGGCGCCAGTCATTTTTTGTTCCTCCGAAAATAATAAACCGGAATACCTTAATGCTCAAAACGTACAGGAAAACCCGAAAGAATACTATAAAACAACATCTCGAAAGAAAATCCCAGGAAAAGGTGGTATTACCCGCGCTGCTCAGGGGGTTAGTTATGGAGAGAGGGATGGATCCAGATGGAAACAAGTTTATTGGGTGAAACTCTAAAATAAATTACTCAAAATTCAAGAGCAAAACCAAAACTATATTCAATAGGAAGATTATTAATACAAATTTGAGAGAGAGAGACATACAAAATTGGGCGTGACGTACACAGAGATCCAGAAATTTTAATTACTCAAAATCCTAATAATCTCGAATTTGGCCCAAAGGTACAAAATATGCTCAGGCGAATATTCCCAATTCAAAGGTAATTTTTATTCCCCACCGGGATGACGGTAAAAACATAATTCAATAAATGGAGCAAAGCTCGAGAAAATAACTCCAATATTAATCATTTCCGAACCGCCACCAACTTTAAGGCACAGGGCGCAGGGCACCTCAGATACGGCGCTGCTCGAACATTCTACAAGTGGAGGCTCACTGAGCATAAAACATAGCCACGTGAGAACTATCGGCCGGCACGACACACGAGATTCAAGATGAATTCACTCGATGCACGAAAACTGAACAAAATGTCGAAATGTCCGAAATAATAGGACGTGAATCGCATGACGAATTGTTAACGTTCGTAGGCGTATTTTATTACTAATTCTTTAAATTCTAATTTTCACGAACCCCAAGCAACCTGACTACTCAGGAGTTCCTCGTGGTTGCAGTGATTCCCTCCTGACCTGTCACCGAAACCCTAACCCTAACCTGTTGTGCCCCGTAAATCTTATAATTGAGCAATAATATTGCAATTATTCCTACACCTATCCTACACATTTGCCTAAGAATTTTATCCTAAATCCAACCGTTCAGCTCGGTATTTTTTTGGCTTAAAACGCGATTAAAAAAGGAACTCTACCTAATCAATTTTTATTTCTCGAAATTTTAATTCAGTATTTGGCGATAATTCGCAATAATTCTTCTCTAAACCCCAATACTTTTAAAAGTTTATATTCCTGGCGTGAAAACGCAATTAAATTTTCAAAACAAATAAGGCGAAATACGCAATACAAATTCTCAATAATTTGGGCGTAAACGCAATGAGAAGTCTCCATAATTTAGGCGTAAACGTAATTGAAATTCTTACAAATTTTGGAATCAAAAATGCTATTAAATCCCCAATCTTTTTAATGACTCTAAATGTCAAATCTGGACTCTAATGGATCTTGCCGTCCAAAAGGAAGTTCTCCAGATTTCCTTACACGTTAAATTACAATATTTACATTGGTTTAATAATTGTCTGATTATCCTTAAACGTCTCTTCCATCTGAATAACACGTTGATTAATTGCACTACTGATTTAATAGCTAATTAACTGGTACTGAGTGCTGAGAAAATGATCAATTCAACCGAAATTGCTGACCTTTATGTATGACTATATAAATTAAAATGACTAGAAAAACTGTCCTTCTCTATGAACCGCCCAGACAATAACGAACTAATTCCTTTTATTTGAATTCCTATTTCCGTTAATCCGGGTGGGTTTCAATTTCTACCGAGGACTTCCGAACTAACCTGATGATGGATACATTGAAACGCCTAATTGCGTTTCAACCAATTATTATTGCCCAATGTGTTCATTCTTCCTCCGAATGGAACTATAATTTTTTTCACAATCCAATGATCGAGTCTTGTACATTAAGATAATTAAGACTCAGCGACATTCGTTCTGAGGCATATTGCTAATTTATTAACGGAAGAAGATCGATCATGGTGGATGTGTGGTACGAGCGCGGAGTTGGCAGTTTACATTTTAAGGGTGGGGTGCTCACATCATCTCCGCCATTGCACTAAAAATAGCAAATGATGTTTCGGTAACATCACACCTACTAGTCACCAATAAGAGTTAAAAACTTCAATTATAGGACCCATAATTCATTGATGGGTATATTTTTCCACCCAAAAGCTCAAAATCACCAAACAAGGAAATATAAACATTTTGATCTATACACGTGGCACGTCTGAGCGTCTCGCTCAAAGCAAGCCATCACTCCACTTGATGATCCGTACATATTGTTACTACAATAAAGCCTGTCAATACTGTATCAAATTGTGTGCCATCATATATTCACTCAAAACGGGATCATCAAAAAATAATTCGTTAAATAACGAGGAATTTTTCCTACTCAGAAAAAATGAATACATTCCGGGTACAAGAATGTCTGACTTTAATGGGCTGATCATTGATGAGCCGTCAACCATGACTGACTCCCAACGGAGCTGGTTAAAAAATAAAAAAAAGTCAACGTTGTTTTGTGAGAGGGCTGACCCAGTCGCAACGTTTCAGAGAATGGATGGATAAGGATGAACTTTCGGGAGACGTTGAGTGGGTCCACCAAATCACTGCATGCGGTTTTTTTACATTAAATCCACATTAACTGAGCGGGCCACAATTTCTACGTGTCGAGCGGTACCGAGAAAAAAGTGATTAATTTTGTGTAGAAATTGTATGCAGTGAGTGGTTCACAGAAAATAGCGGACATACGTGGAAACGGTTGATACGCAAATCAGACAAAGAGTAAAGGGCCACGAGGTGGCAGGAGATCTGATTTAGGAAATCACATGAACTTAATATATTAGGGGTATTCCATAACCGTGAGCTGTCCAGGAAGTGGCGCCTCACGTGTCAAAAGTAATGACCCTTGGTTGCCTTAGATAAGAGGTGAGCGCTGCAAGCGAGTGTGAGCGTCGAGAGAGAGTTGGGTGAGCAATGCTTCTGAGTGTGAGTGCTTGCGTCAACTAACACGATTCCCAACAAATCTCAATATAATATCCAAAAAAGGTAACAAAAGCTGTAATACTTTTTTTGATCTCGTCCCAGAGATGGTGGATAGTCACGACACTCGCGCAGTCCCATACTCACATCTTGAAATTCATGGCCCAAACGCCAACAAAAACTAAAAGAACCGAAGCGAGGGCAAGGAGGTAGGGCGCCTGGCATTACCTCAGATTGGTATACCTCATTAACTAAGGAACCAAATCCTAAATTCAAAAAAAAAAACCTAAAAAAGAGAGCACGAAAAGACAGGACATGAGGGATTCGACCTCGTCCTCGCGACACCATAAATTCCATAAATCGTTATAAATAAGTTCATCAATTTTATGTATTAAAAAAAAAAGCAGCCCAGATTGCCAAATCCAAACAACGGGACGAAAATCCAATTACAGTCAGAACCACTCGCGAAAGGCTGAAGCTGTTGACGAATGGAAGGGAAGTGGGAAGGCCTGTGGTGCTAAATCATGAAGAGCGGGTCAGGATCCACTTATATGTGAATCTACTCCCGAAATTTACCGAATAAAATACAAAAGAAGAGAGGTTGAGCATTACGAACGCTGTAGGATACCGGTCACTCGTCTGTGTGAGAAACCGAGGCGCAAAGGACGCCTTCATGTGTGTCATCACTGAGAGGATCCGTGACTGATCCGGAATTTCTACCGAGACCAGAACGGATCACTACGTGTAGCCTCAGATATAGAGCATACCGGAGAGGATAAGGGAGACCATCCATTAAGCTACAGAAGCTGCCCGATTGAAAAACAACTAGGCTGAAAGTTAAACTAAAAAAGAAATACATCTAACAAAAGAACTTCGATCAAAGGTCAAATATTACAAGAATACTCCAGGATTCTATCACTGAGCAAAGTGGTCAATAACACCCAGTCAACTAAACAAAATGACAAAAAATAAGAAACGCCACCAATCTCAATATGGGTCCCCGCATGCCGCAACTTCAAATATCGATGATCACTCCCAAGCACCCAACATTTCAGGCCCAACTTTCAACACATGATCATAATAGTTATTTATTAAAAATTAAGGAATTAAGATTCTATTCTTCATGCCTGAAAATTTCCTAAACCTCCACGCCAACCAAATTAATTAAATCAGAAACACGTTTAAACACCCTACTCCATTTTCAGAATGAACAACACACCAATTCAACTCCCCAAAGAACACTTTGTAGAAAATTGAGTCAAATGAGTTATTATAAACATCCATTTTATCATTACAAGCCAATGTAGAGTCGCATTAGTTAACTCTATTGAGACTGTTTTGGCGAGAATTATGGGTATATTAAGGGTAGCGAAGGGCACATTAACAATTAATAAAATACATGCGTCGGTTTATCTCGTCAAAAAGTTTATATTTATTACAAAAAAATATAATGACTGGTCAAAAATAATACCGTGGAAATACACCGCGTAAATTCGTGAGAATGTTCAGCCGAAACAGAGAAATTTCTCGCTGGAGTTGTTCACAGAGAAAGTAGATTTAATGGTCCGGGAAGAAAAACACGTCACACACAGTTCACCGAAAAAATAGAGAAGACGAAGAAAATGATGTAGAGATGACAGCTAAAGCAACAGGTGAGAGATTAACATATTAATTGGCCCTACCCAGGAGGTGCTGCCACCGTTCTGCCCGTTCGACATTAATGAGGCCGTTGCCTCAACAGGTACCAATACCCGGCTGCGGCCTCTGGCCGGCTGAACGATCGATGATTTTCTTAAGAG